AAAAATTTTTTCTCATTACTTGCAACTATAATCGCATAGAAATACAATTATTATATATTATAGTCAAGAAAATGCATGTTTTTATTAACCCTTCGTGGCTTATGTAAAAAACGGCACCACATGTAGTCCTACATGAGTCTTTCGAGTCCGATTCTTTTATCATATCTCTTTCAAAGTGGTTCGAAAAATCTGTAAAAATTCACGGATGTATTTTCAAGTTTCTAGAACAAATATCTATATTTTATTGTGTATTTTTTAGGAAGGGCAGAAAATCCGAAACCCTTCAACGTGCTGAGAAATTTCTATGCATAGAAACCGTCCGGACTCGAAATATCCATGTGGGGCCACTAAGGGTTAAATTTTATTATAATGCTGATGATAATGATCTATGCACATATTATTATCATTTTCGCGTTAGAACAATCAGAAATATGGTTGAATTCACATTGATTTTCGTTAGATCAACCATTCTTTGTTTCTCTCCGTGTGCGACGAGGCGCTAATTTTTCTCGATCGCGTGAATTTCCAGTGAAACCCCTGACCGTGATCATAAGGCGGCCGGGGAGGAAAGGGACCGGCAACGAGTCGCTGTTGGCGGGCAAGCGATACGACATGGAGTGCGAGACCACTGGTTCAAGGCCACCCGCGGTGATAACCTGGTACAAAGGCCGCAGAAGACAGCTGAAGCACACGACGGTAAGGAAGAAAAATAAGAAGTAACACGCGGTGGGTTGCGCGCCCGTGAGATTCTCGACCTAGAAGCAACGGCTCCTTATCTTCCCCGCGGCTTACCATGGGATCCCGTGGCTTTTATCCCCGAGCACAAAAGCTGCCCCTCCCCTCGCCCCGTAGCCCTCCCGCCACGGTTTGTCGCTCTCATTTTTGCCCGGGCGCGCTCTCGCGAAACGCTGAGGCCACAACCAGCGGCCGACACATCGGTCGGTCGGTTTCGCGCGCGCAGTAATCCCGAGAGCGCGAATTCCCTCCCTTTCTGCCGCGGTCTCTGTCCCTTCTTCCCCCGGCTACGCGTCCCGATTAATCACGCAGCCTAGATTCACTAATACGCTGTTTTAACGCGATTCGATATGTGCGTAATTCTCGTGGCGCGCGGAGGCACGTAATTAACGGCTAAGCTGCTTATTATCCTCCTGCAGTCGGGGTCCTCGTCGTTAATTAATCGCCACCACCGCCGTAGCCGCCGCCGCCGACGTAGCTACCGAGCGAGGGAGTTTAAAAAGGATGTGGAGCGAAGATAACGCGATAACGCGTCGTCTGGCTCGATTTCAAATAGTTGTTTGAAACTTTCATTTATAAGGTTTTGGGGCTATGTACGCGCGGTCGATCGGTCGGTCGGTAGGATGGACGGATGAACGTACAAACATCGGCTGTTATTTGCCAGCAGATACGTGTAGACGTGATCAGGCCGGAATTCTTACGCGCTTATCGAGCCGTTCGCCTTCCCCAGCTTCCGAATCGACGAGATCGGGAAGCGCGCGAATCAAGTTTTAATTAATTGGATTTGTGTTACGAGCGCGTCCCGGAGAATGAAAAATTCCGACCGTAACTAAGTTTCGGCAAAAATTTAACTCACACGCTTTCTGATCTCGCCGCTTTAATTGCGCGATCCTATTTCCATAATAACGAATCTCATCTCGTGCTATGAGCGTACGCAACGCGGAAAGAATCACGATAGCTCAAAATTAATCTTCCGCGGTCGAGGAGTCGGGGTGCAAATTTGAATAGACCAGAGTCAAGGCTGCGAAGAATTCGATGGAGAATTAAGGGAGAAGCGAGGGCGACCGATTGATCAATAACTGATATCTGAAGAGAGCGGGCCACGAGAGAAGCGCCGGAAACGTCATCGAAGGAAGACGCGACAAGTGCGCGTAGCGCGGAATGGTTAACGCGACGGTATCCTCTCCTCGAAATTGCCACTTGTCCGCGCGACCGCGCGAAGGCAATTGCCCTGGCATTCGGATTGGCCTTGGTAACGAGATCGTCGATATTAAAAGAAGTCGACGACTCTCTCGCGCGAACGACGAGTATTCCGACGCAGTCCGGAGATCACGATCGAGTCGATTCTCCGATGACGCTTTCGAGAGTTGCATCAGTCGGTTTCTCAAGACCTGTCGAGCCTGAGACGCGGTTGAGCGAAACCGCTACGGGGGCGATGGCAGAGCTGAAGAGTCGAGACGTCCCGGGGAACCGATAACTACACCCCTCGCTGGCGAATCTTTCCCTCGGGAGAGATTCTCGCGAGAGGAGGAACGGGAGTCATAAGGGCCGGGAGGACCAGGACAAAGAAGAAGGGACTAGAGAGAGAGAGAGAGAGAGAAGGAGGCAGGAAGTCCAAAGGGGAAGCGATAGAATGGATGAAGGAGACAGGGAGAGTCGAGGACAAATAAAGAATTGGTACTCTCTCCGAACGGATTGGATTCGCCTGGGTTCGAGTCACATCCGATTGTGATAGCGGCTTGAAAGCGAATCGAAAAGGAGGTTGAAAGCGACGATGGCGGTGGCGACGGTCGCGGCGACGGTCACGACGACGACGACGGCGGCGGCAGTGATGCTAGGTGGGTGGCTGAGATCAGAGCTTTCGAGATGTGCCGATTGAATTAAGCAGCCGCACCTGTCGGCCCCAGATATTTTCATTGGCGGCATGCTAATTGCCAATTAAGTTGTACCGATTCACAGCCAATCTCACCCGAACGTCCTCTTTGCATTTACGTCTCTCCTCTGCGGCCCGCGACGACCATGAGAGCGAGCGAGGACCAGCGAAGGATAATGTTCGCATTTAACTTAAAACGAACGCCCCCCCCCCCCCCCCCCCC